AGCACTGGTGACCCAGCAGGAGCAACTCTCATGGAGTGGTGGCAACAGAAGCTCAAGTGAGAGAGAATAGGAAGTGAAGGAGCAGACGGTGAGTGTAGACACCTGTTTCAAAGGGTTTGGCTGTGTAAAGTGTTAGAGAAATGGGAGCACACCTTAAGAGGAGCGGGAGGTCTAGTAAGGGCTTATATGAACACTAGAGCGTGGGCGTGGAGGGGCTGTGGGTGTGGTGTGTGTGTTCACACGTGCACGCTAGTAAACAACGACAAAATGAATGATGCGGGAGGGAGAGGGGCAATTGCAGGAATGAAGTCCTTGAGCAGGTGTGAGGCAATGGGATCCAGTGTGCGGGGGGGCAGGGCTAGCCCTAGGAGCAAGGTCAGTTTGTCCATTGTAACAGGAGGCCAGGGAGACTGCCCAGTCACAGAGGCATGTGGGTCGATAAATGTGATAAGAAAATGACTTCATTGCTGACTTTCCATCACCACATTGTAGGGTCAGTGTGAGGGTAAAATGAAATAATTCATACAAAATATTTAACACTGTATCTGGCACACACTTAATAAAATGCTGGATTTGGTCTTAATTCCTAGACTAGCATTCAAGACGCTCTTTGCAACATACATGTGCAGTCTTGTGTCTTGCTACTTCAATCTGCATGCCCTGCACTCCAGCCAACTAAACTACGCATTTGGCCACATAGCACATTGCCCAAGCTGTTCCCTCTCGCAGGAATGCCCTTCTTTCTCTTCTCTGCCTCTTGAAACTCTGCCCGTATTTCAAAACCCAATACAAATGCCATCTGTGGCATGAGGTTTTCTGTGATTCCCTCAATGGATTAAATCTATTTTTTAAATTCCTATACCAGTCATTCTGACACACAGTGTGTCTATCATACTGTCAAGTGGCTGTCCCTTTTAAGGATTGTCACGAGTAACTTGCTACACTAATAACTATATTTTACTAAGTTAGAACAGAGACAAGTTTACGTCCTGGTCCCTATGACAAAGGCTTTTTATTCATATTGCTATAGGCTTTCTAGAGTAAAAGAGAGCAGAGCAGAGGCGGAGCCAGCGATACTGAGAATAGAACAGAAACTCTAGCTTCTTAGCCATGCCAGAAAGAGCCATCTATGAAGTGCTTTGCTTCTCCACCAAAATTGCGACATTTCATCAATAGTTGAGAGGCTCGTGCACATGAACATAGGCTATTTTGTGTATCTTCACAGATAAAATATCAGAGCCACTATTCTACAGTACACTGTATCTCTCTTAAGAAACTTATCATAACATCCCTTGTTATTTACACATTTGTGTTAGCCACCACTTCATGTCAAAGTCATCTCATTTATACAGACTCTATCTTATCCATCTTTATATCTCTTAATACCCTGCGTGTTTGCACATGGTAAGATTTCAATAAATATTTGCCAAGAAAATGAATGAATGCATGAAGGGATATTTTGACACAAAATTACAGCTACACAGTAGGAGTAAGTTTCAGTGTTCTCCACAGCAGGGTGACTATAATTTATAATAACTTATTGTATATATTCAAATAGCTAGAAGAGAGAGGATTTTGAATGTTTAAAAAAATGATAAATGGCCAGCTGTGGTGGCTCATGCCTGTAATCCTAGCACTCTGGGAGGCTGAGGCGGGCTGATTGACCTCGACCCAACTTTTTTTTGCAGCCCTTTTGGGAAAGCACTGAGGATGACTCCAGGATCACGCTCTCTCACTCACAGCCCACATCACATTCTAGGAAACACTCGCCTGTTCTTAGCCCCAAGAAACATTAGGAGTGCTAGGGCAGGGAGATCCTAACACAACCAACCACCTCTCCTTCAGCTTGTCTGTCATAGCTACCTGGCCAAACTTTCAACCCTGAGATTTCTGAGAGGAGAGTCAAATATAAACCCACTGTGTCCTTCTACCTTGGAGAACACCTTTCAGACTCTCCAGGTAGTCCACCTAAAGGGGTGGCTTAAGGTAAGGGACAGGCATCCCTCAGAACTTGCCCTTTTTAGTGAACGTGGACTTCAGTATAGCTTTGCAAAGAAATCCTCCGAAGTTGTTATATTTTGATCTTCTCTACTCTTTTATGCTCCTGACAAAGGTGAGGAGCTTAAGAATGATCTACTAGTTCTCAGCCTCTTGCTTTGTAAATCCTGGTCTAGGACTTCAATTTGGAATAGGTATCTGTTGTTCTGCAACCTAAACTTCCATTTCGCCATCCTGTTGCAAGGTATCACATGTGTTGTATATTTAGTATTTTCCATTTTTACATATAACCCAATTTCCCCAGGCCTCCCCAGATTGGGAATATAAAATAAAGTTTCAGTCTATTTTTATGCCCAAATTATGATGGCAAGAGCCCCAACTGTTTTAATGACAAGTAATTAGCACATTTTTAAGTGTCCTCAAGATATTTTTGGGAGTTCCCCAAAAGAGTGCCACGCACATGCCCACCATCCAGTCTGTCACTGCCTGGTGTCTGCTCTCTCCTTCCTTTCCTACTCTGGCTTGGAAGTTTCACATTCTCTGCCTACAGATTTGAGGAGTGTCGGATCATTGCTGGGTTCCAGGGGGAGATGGAGGAAATGGCCTCCTCAATTTCATGCCACATGTGGTCACCAGGACTCTGACATGGTTCTTTTTTGCCAGAGATGAACTTTTGGCTATCTCCTACTTCCCATGAATTCTCCAAATTTCTCCTTTAAAAATAGTTCCATTATTTTTCCAACTGCACTTTTCTGAGCTTGGGTGGTTCAGCCCAGTCTAAGGCCAGACAACGCCCATCCCTAACTCCTCACAAACCAAAACTCCATGGCCTAATTTTCTTTCTTTTTCTCTTGTGTGTCCTGGCACAAAACAGGAACCTCTCTGCATGTTAAAGGATGGAAGGGAAAGGGGCATACAAGTCTCACTAGTAACTTCTGGACCAACGTTCACTGGCTAGTCCAATATTATCTTTCTTTTACTTTCTAAATTCAAGAGCCATTCAGAAAAAAGCAAAAAGCAAATAGGACAGTATATACAGTCTGCTACTAAAGGAGAGGAGATTGTAAGTATGTACAGGTTTATAAGTGCAAAGAATGTCTCCAGAAAGACCCACAAGAAAGTAATTAACAACAGTGGCTGCTCCCAGGGTGGGAACTTTGTGACTGGGCATCAGAGATGGAGAGAAGACTTACTTGCCACTGTACTTCATTTTGTACCTTTGGAATATTTTACATGTGCATGTATTCCGTATTTAAAATGAATTTTAAAGAATACTAGTAAAAATACTTTAAAGTTCACATATACACACATACACACAAACTCTGTATCCCATAAAGGATGTACCCTTTTATTACTTATTTACTAAGAGTTATTATAAAGTGTTGCTAACATTTACCAAATGACAGTTATGCATATGTTGAAATAAACATGATTTTTCTCCTTAAAAAAAAAACAAAGGGATATTTTGTAGAATTCCTCTGTTTAGGTTTTACTGTTAATTATGGTCTTCAAAAGGTTTGTAGAAAATGCATATTATGAAAAAACTACACAAGAGTTTCTTCTTTTTTTTTTTTTGCATTAAAACAAACTCATACTTCAACCAGAAGTACTTATGGCAAATAAAAGGGGAAAAAAAGAAAAGAAAAATGTATAAAATAAATAAAATAAACTTGTATTAACTTGTTATAACATGTCTGAAGAGGATATAGTTTTAGGCACTAAGAAGGATAAGATATCAGTTTGAAAGGAACCTCTATCAGAGCAAAAGAATTCTTTTAAAATTGAAGCAAGAACAAATATCAAATTTATGGTAAGCTTGGGTAGAAGAATGGTAAAATCATTGATGCTTTATAAAAAGTTTATGGGACAATGCCCCCAAAGAAACCAGCAATTTACAAATAGATAACTCATTTTAAATGACAAGACAATGTTGAAGATGAAGCCTGCAGCAGCAGACCATCTATATCAATTTGCAGGGGAAAATATTCATCTGATTCATGCCCTAAAAGATTAACAGCACAACAATAGCAAACACCACAGACATCTCGATTGGTTCAGCTTATACCATTCTGACCAAAAAATAAAAGTTTAGCAAACTTTCCACTTCATAGGTGACAAAGTCATTGTGCTCAGATCAGCTACAGACAAGAGCAGAGCTTTCAATGGGAATTTTAAACAAGTGGCACCAAGATCCTGAAGCATTTCTTTTAAGAACTGTAACAGGAATTAAAACGTGGCTTTACTAGTAAGATCCTAAAGACAAAGCACAAGCAAAGTAGTGGCTACCAAGAGGAGGAAGTGGTCCAGTCAAAGCAAAAGTGGACTGGTCAAGAGCAAAGGTCATGGCAACAGTTTTCTAGGGTGCTCAAGGCATTTTGCTTGTTGACTTTCTAGAGGACCAAAGAATGATAACATTTGCCCATTATGAGAGTGTTTTGAGAAAGTTAGCCAAAGCTTTAACAGAAAAATGCCCAGGAAAGCTTCACCAGAGAGTCCTTCTCCACAACAATGCTTCTGCTCTTTCCTCTCATGACACAATGACAATTTGGCAAGAGTTTCTATGGGAAATCATTAGTCATCTACTTTACAGTCCTGATTTGGCTTCTTCTGACTTCTTTTTGTCTCCTAATCTTAAACACTAAGGGGCATCCATTTATCTTCAGTTAATAATGTAAAAAAACCACAACACTACATTGAGATGGATAAAATTCCCAGGACCATCAGTTCTTTAGGGATGGACTCAACAGCTGGTATCATTGCTTTAAAAAGCATCTCAACTGTGATGAAGCTTACATTGAGAAAGAAAGCTTATATTTTTAATTTTTATCTTTTAATTCCATTTTTCCATGAACATTTTGAAACATCCTCACATTTAAAAAGAGATCTAATAGTTTAAAACCAGAATATATCCAAAGCTTCAAGTGAGATTGGAAATAAGTTGAAAAGAAGAACCCCAATAACAATAATAACAGAATACATTAATCAATGTTGATGGTATTTACCCAGTTCATCTTGACAGAAGCTTTCTGGAGGATTGATATACTTCATGGTGCTCACATCTAATTTCCAGTTGTGCTTTGTGCATTTAACAGACCTAGATGAAAAATTATATTTAGGTTTATGAAATGGTGAAAATAAAAATCCTGAATAGGCTTAGATGCATTATTTTATGATAAAATTAAATTATGATGAAATTCGTTGGTTGAACACAAAATACACAAAAGAAAAACTATTAATAGCTAATACTCGAATATCCAAGGACTAATCATCAATAAGTGATTTTAAAAAGTGAAGATAGAATCCATGTCACAAAATGACACGTTAGAGATCAGTAGAGACACAGAATAAAGTGATCTTGAGAAATGGCTCTCTTATGAAAGCTACACTAGATGAGATCCCATTAGAGCCAACACAAGGGAAGAATGTCAAAGCAAATACATTGTCTGTGATTTACAATAACTCTACAACCCTTTACCCCTAGAAGAGTGTCAACTACAATTTTGGTATGTCAAAGATTCCCTTATAGTTTAAGATTTCAGACCAGAATTGCAAGATAAACTACAGGGAGCCTGGTTAAATTTGAATTTCAGATAAACAACAAATGATTGTTAAATATATTTCACACAATATTTGAGACATACTTATTCTGAAAATGTGTTGTTTGCCTGTAATTTAAATTTAACTGAGTGTCCTGTACTTTCATTGCACTCCAGCAACCCTGTTTCAGAATGAGAACCAGACTGAACAAATGGATTGCTCTTTCCCCCACATTTCTTACCAGAACTTCCAGACTGAACAAATGGAATGCTCTTTCCCCCACATTTCTTACCAGAGCTTCCACAGTTCCATGTATTCCCTTTATTTTAGTAGTATTTCTGGTGAAGTTTTTGTTGTTTGGTTTTTTTAAGAGTTAAAGAATTTTTTTTTTACAAAGAAATGTCTCAAACCAGAAACATAAAATTTTTTTTTTTTTTTTTTTTTTTTTTGAGACAGAGTCTCACTTTGTTGTCCAGGCTAGAGTGAGTGCCGTGGCATCAGCCTAGCTCACAGCAACCTCAAACTCCTGGGCTCGAGTGATCCTTCTGCCTCAGCCTCCCGAGTAGCTGGGACTACAGGCATGTGCCACTATGCCCGGCTAATTTTTTATATATATATCAGTTGGCCAATTAATTTCTTTCTGTTTATAGTAGAGACGGGGTCTCGCTCTTGCTCAGGCTGGTTTTGAACTCCTGACCTTGAGCAATCCGCCCGCATCGGCCTCCCAAGAGCTAGGATTACAGGCGTGAGCCACAGCGCCCGGCCTAGAAACATAAAATTTTTTAAAACTAAAAACATCAACTTAGAAGTGAGTCATGCTGATTTTTCTGAGCTTTATTATATCCAGAATTTCTTATGTTCTTTTCTAGTGATAAGGCAAAAAGCATATCCAAACTTCAATTTATGAAGGATTATTTTATGACACCTCCTTTCTCATCAATGAGTAGCCAATCTTTTACTAATTAAGACAGAACATTCCAGCTGCAGCTATTCAGTATGCTGGGCCATGGAGGGGGAAACTAGCAGAACCATGTGCTTACATTACAGGTGGCAGGCAGACAGGAGGGCGACAACCACTGTACAAACAGGTTGTGAAAAAGTGTTAGAATTGTTAGAAAAATTGTTAAGAATGAGAACCACCACTTATATTTGCTGATCTTGGTTATGTGTCAAAAAGAAAAATGACTGACTGGCAGGTAGAATAGAACTGATAGGTTCTTGTTCTTGACTGGGACCTGGAAACTGGAAAAGACAGTTTCTTCGCATGAATAGCTACAAAGACACCCAAGTAGAAGAAACCAAATTCCAAGAAGTGTATGTGAGAGTATAGTGTATAAGTTACCAAAGGAATACAGTGTCAACATACAAATGCTTGGTGAGCTGCATCAATAAAACTGTAAGAACTTGGTTCCTCATGTGCAGGAGAGCTAAGAGAATAGAGTTAGCTTGTCTACATACAGAGTAGGGTGGAACTAGGATCAAGTACCCACAAGGCTTTGGATGAAACAGAGAAAGGCCAGTTGATGGTAAAGCAATCATTATATCTAGCTGAGCAGACTAGATACAAAAACAGTCTGACTTCCTGTAAATATTCCCTGCACATAGCCACACAAGAAGCTCGTGGCACAGAAATAATAATGCCAACTGTAACCCACATCTTTTGGGTGCTCACCACATGGCATTCTTTTATGTGCTTTTTTGGGGTTTGACATCACATAATCCTCTCGGCAACCTGACAAAGTAGGTAATACTTTCATCTTCATTTTACAAATGAGAAGATGGAGGCCCAGAAAGGCTAAGAAACTTGTCCAGGATTATTACTGAGCTAGTAAGTGGTTGAGCCAGGTTTCTAAGCCTGGCAGTTTATGAAAATAAATGATGCTCTTAACCACTAAGCTTTGACACCTCCTTAAATGCCTGGCTAAGTGCACACTGTGTGAAACGTCTCACTAAGGAAAGAAACAAAGCAAAGAAAACCAGAGACTCAAAACTGCAAAAGTTAGAAGAAAAAAACCTTAATATCCTAGACAAAAACCTTAACACCCAGTGACAGAACTATGTCTGAGGCGTCCCTGCCTTGAACCCACTGAGCAGATGGAAGACAATCAAAACAGCTGCCAGCAAATTATCTAGATGTTCTCTTAGGGTAGAGTTGCCAGCTAAGAAAAGATGTCCCATTTATAGTAAAAATATACTCATTGTTTACCTGAAATTCAAATTTAACTGGGCATCCTGTATTTTATTTGCAAATCTGGCAGCCCTCTCTGAAAAGCTGAGCAAGCTACAGGTGCAACAGTGGTTAGCATTTCAAACTCTAATAATATCTGAGGCTGGGCCCTGAAACTATATATGCAGTGAAGCAAATCTGTGTGCAGGTGGTATGAGAACATTCTAGGCTCAGGTGACTGTCTTCTATACAGTTATAGCAGGGAACTCTTGGATAAACACCCAGCTCCCTCTCAGTACACTAGCACTAAACTACCCACAAATGACCTAAGAAATAAGATTGACAACACAGAGGAAGAAAAAAGCCTAACACCAAATGACTAAAACCACATAGATTAAGTTAGGCTAAAGAAAAATTTGAAAGATGGGGTTAACCACTCACACCATTACTGGTGTTGAGAATCAAGCTGACAGCAGACACCCTAGAACCCTTTCTGGCTCTGCCAGGCAGTACCACCATCTCCTTGGCAGTTATTGAAAACAGGACTAAAAATGGTTTAATCCTGTCCTGGTATTGCCACTGCACTGGGGAAAGGTAATTTACACACGGCGGGGGTAACAGCATTACTTCTTCTAAGAAACGATCAGAAGAGACACTGTTCAAGGTGGGGGCAGTTAGGGCTCTGACATTTTTGTGTTGTAAACATAACTAAGGAAAATTCTTTCTGCTTTGCTGCAGGGTTTGGACAAGTGCCTCCCACTTCTGAGGGAGGGAGAAGGAAACTTATAGGAGACTGGGGTCTTTGAATACAAAACCAGGTAAATGTGGCCTTCCCCATGCACACCCAAACACACACACACACACACACACACACACACACACACACACACACACACACACACAGGCAACCTAGAGGTTTTACTATTTATCAAGCTAAAAATAAGTTTTAAATTAGAATTCTTATGAGAGAGCGGAAAATGTAGTAAAACATACAATTTTGAGATCAGAGAGATGTCCTAAATGAGCAAAAGCGAAAGCTGCAAAACTTACTAGGGGAAGTTATTTGCTGATTGGTTCATTTAAAATTTCTAGATGTACACATTTCCTGCCAAATCTAATTGCAAGAAGGGTCACCAGTGAGAAAGCAAAGGACTCTTGGTACCTTCCATCTAAATCCTCAATATCTTTTATGAACAGGCCTCCTTGATGCTTGCACATATTCTTACATGCCCTCAGGTGGCACTTATTCTTGTATATGATGTAGTCTTTGCCGGTGCTCTTATTTCGAAAGAAATTGATTCCTTCCTTAAGATTGGCAACTTCAACGGGTGATAGACACAACAGGATCTCAGCTCTCTGTTCAATGCTATGAAAAGACAAACATTTTGAGGGGAAAGATTAATAATGTTAGGTTTTAAGAGATAATCATTTGGCAAAACAGCTCAAAACCCCTTTTCATTAAAATACTTCCTAAGCCCTCTTTCCAAGTACCCAGGCGTGGAGGCTGCCTGATGCTGCCCTTTCTCCCCGACATGGACATAATTATACACCCTACTTGTTGAATATCCCTCTTCACTTTTCTAGAGAACCAATACCTCTCTTACTTGCCTGCTCATCATAGTCTGCCGGCTCCTCTCCCTGGGTATTTCAAAAGAATAGCAGTTGCTCTTTTCCCTTCTGTTGCTCATTTGCTCCCACAGGGCTGTAAGCTGCTCAGAGAGAAGATGTTTACTCCATTTCACTATTTCCGTTGATAACTGTCTCCACCCTCTACCGCGCCTCTTTTAGAAGCCTGACAGTATTCAGAAGCCACTGTGTTCTCCCCCTCAGCTGCAGCCTTTCACATTTGCACTTTGCGTTGCCTGAAACACAGTTCCTCTCCTTCACTACTCCGCATCAGCCTTGGTTCATGTAGGACTGAGTCATCCCCTGCTTGGTTGACACTTCAACCAAGACACCCCGCCCAGGTCCAGCCTAGCATTCTTAGGGTGCATCCCAACTCTGTAAAACATTATTACACAGTACCTGGCACACTGCCCTGTTTACTCACACAGGGGCACTTTTTAAAGCACTCTCTCCCCACCACTTAGCAGACTGCTTTTCACGTGGTGCTGTCTTCGCTAGCTCTCCACTTAAGGAATTGCCCCTTCCCCTGCACTCAATTTGACTAATTTACAAAAAGCTCCAACAGCAAATGTTTTCATGTTTTCTCATGGAAACCACACGTCACATTTCTCAAACTCCAATTTCTAAACAGACTCACTTTACAAAGCAACTCTGGTCCGTAAAAGAATATAATTTTTGCCAAGTGGGGTTTCAAAATATCTTTTGCAAATCCATGATATGTAATCTGGCACACGCTTAATTTTACATTTGACTCCAAAGAAAAAGTGGCCAAAATTCTCTTCATGTGTTAAGATTGATTTGGAGCTCAAGCACATTTGTGGCATTTTCACTTTCATTTTCAGAAGTACTGTGAATTTCTTAAATGGGATACAAATAATTTTAAAAACATGCGGGAGTAGAAAATAACAGAGAAGCTACTTCCAGTTTTAAATCTATGAAAGCATAGTCCTCTAATTATGATCCATTTCCTCAAAGAAGATTCTTGTCACATCTGTCCCAAATTTCTGGTAATTCTGTTCACAATAGACTTGAAATTATTATTATTCCAAAAATATATTTTAAGTATATTTGATAGGAAGGAATCCTTTTTAAACTTCATGACTTCCTCTTTGACTTTGTTCATCTGAATACAAATATCTGACACCAAGCTAAAGTAAGCACTGAGGCAGTTCCTGGAATAATTAGTCTAAAAATATAAAAGGAAAACCTCTCTAAATGATTTGTTTTACTTAATTGAATGTATCACATGGCCAAAGTTCCATGTTAGACTGTAAGTTGTTTCACGCACTATGTAAAACAGTTTGAACTAACTACATCTTTGTTTTCAGGTCCGCATGAAGTCACATAGGAGCAGAAGGAAAAAGAAAAAAAAAGTGTGCTCCTATATACATGTTTTTATGTATAGTTCTGAATGGTTAATTTTCCCCCAAGTATTTTAAAAGATATTAATGAATTTGCTTCCATTAAAATGAGACAAAATTTTTCTGAGCAAGAGCCTGAGCAAGCCTGAGCAAGAGCGAGACCCCGTCTCTACTAAAAATAGAAATAAATTAATTGGCCAATTAAAAACATATAGAAAAAATTAGCCGAGCATGGTGGCACATGCCTGTAGTCCCAGCTACTCCAGTGGCTGAGGCAGAAGGATCCCTTGAGCCCAGGAGTTTGAGGTTGCTGTGAGCTAGGGTGATGCCACAGCATTCTAGCCTGGACAACAGAGTGACACTCTGATTCACAAAAAAAAAAAAAAAAATAGAGTTCTATGAGGTAAAATTGTCATTTATGCTCTGATGCCACCACAAATCCTGAAGATCTCTTCAGAGGCCAGTTGCCAGGGTTTCTAACCTCAGAGCTGAGAGAGAAGCAGCGACAGGAGTGGGACAGGAATGTCAACTAAACTTTGGGCCCAAGCAGGATAGAAAGCCCAAATAAAGCTTACTTCTCATAAAACTATAAATCCTCCAGACGGTTATACTCTGAGAAAAAGTGTAAAGGAAGAAAAGACAACTCATTCAGAATTGTCAGTTTATATGTGCATTTTGCTTCACATAATTTATTAATTAGATTATTTTTGTTTTGTTTTAAATGGGAAGATATTCAGTATTTTGTTCACAGAAATATAAACTCTATGAAAATCAGGACTACAGTACCTGCCACATGGTAGGTACTCAGTAAATATCTGGTGAATGAAAGAATATCCTCACAAGAATAAAATGTGTACTGCATGATTAAAAGAAGGAAAATTCACCAACTATTCCTTATGATACTTAGTATCAAAAATCAATAATCTAAGCTTCCACCTTAGGAAACTAGAAAAAGAAGAGTAAATTAAATCCCAAGTAAGCAGAAGAAAAGAAATAATAAAATTAGAGCAGAAATCAGTGGAATTGAAAATAAGAAATTAATAGAGAAAATCAACAAAACCAAATGCTAGTTCTTTTAAAAGATCAAAAATATTGATAAGGCTTTAGCTAGGCTAACCAGGAAAAAAAGAGATGATACAAAACACTATTATTATAAATCAAAGAAGGGACAACACTACAGACCCCATGGACATTCAAAAGATGATAAAGGAATGCTATGAAAAACTCTATGCTCACAAACTGGATAACCTAGATGAAACAGACCAATTCCTTGAATGACACAGCCTGCCAAAACTTTCACAAGAAGAAATAGACAATCTGCATAGACTTATATCTACTAAATAAATTGAATCAATATGTAAGAATCTTCCAAAATAAAAGGCATCAGGCCCAGATGAGTGTACTGGTGAATTCTACTAAACTTTTAAGAAAGAAATTACAGCAATCTTCTGCAGTATTTTCCAGAAGATAGAACCAGAGGGAATATATCCTAACTCATTCTATGAGCACATTTTCACCCTAATCTCAAAATCAGACAAAATCATTACAAGAAAATTACTGATTTTCTTATTGATTTCTCTCATGAACATAGAGAGAGATGCATAAATACTATCAAATTTAATACAAAATACTATCACATTAAATAAAATAATGCATCAAAGGAATTATACACTATGACCAAATGGGATTTATTCCAGGTATGCAAGGTAGGTTCAACATTCAAAGTTTAATTAATATAATTCATCACATCAACAGGCTAAAAGAGCAAAGTCACATGATCAAATCAATCAATAGATACAGAAAAAGCATTTGATAAACTCCGACATCCATTCATGATAAAAACTCTCAGCAAACTAGAAATAGAGGAGAACTTCAATAGCTTGATAAAGAACATCTACAAAAAACATACAGCTAGCACCATACTTCATGGTGAGAAACTAAAAGCTTTTTCACTAAGATCAGAAACTAGGCAAGAATGTCTCCTCTCACCACTGATTTTCAACATTGTATTGTATGTCCTAGATGATGCTGTAAGAAAAGAAGAAAAGGTATACAAATTGGGAAAGAAGAAATAAAACTCTTTGTTCACAGATGACATGTTTGTCTACATAGAAAAGCTGAAATAACAAAAACAGTCCTAGAACTAATAAACAATGATAGCAAGGTTGTGGGATACAAGGATAATATACAAAAGTCAATAAATTTCCTATATACCAGGTGGAATTTGAAATCAAAAACACAATATCATTTACCGTAGCACCAAAAATATATATATACTTAGGTTTAAACCTAACAAAATATGTACAAGATTTATATAAGAAAAACTGCATAGCTATAATGAACAAAATCAAAGAGCTACTAATTAAAGAGGAGATAGTCCATGTTCATAGATAGGAAGGCTCAATATTGTCACGATGTCAGTTCTTCCCAAATTAAGCTATAGATTCAATGCAATCCCAATAAAAATCCCAGCAAATTATTTTGTGGACATTGACAAACTGATTCTAAAGTTTATATGGAATGGTTAAAGATCCAGAATAGCTAGCCAGGCACAGTGGCTCACGCCTGTAATCCTAGCACTGTGGGAGGCTGAGGCTGACAGATCGTTCCAGGTCAGGAGTTCAAAACCAGCCTGAGCAACAGTGAGACCCTGTCTCTACTAAAAATAGAAAAAAATTAATTGGCCAACTAAAAATATATAGAAAAAATTAGTCGGACATGGTGGCGTATGCGTGTAATCCCAGCTACTCAGGAGGCTGAGGCAGAAGGATTGCTTGAGCCCAGGAGTTTGAGGTTGTTGTGAGCTAGGCTGATGCCATGGCACTCTAGCTCAGGAAACAGAGTGAGACTCTGTCAAAAAAGTAATCCTAGCACTCTAGGATGCCGAGGCGGGCGGATTGCTCGAGGTCAGGAGTTCAAAACCAGCCTGAGCAAGAGCGAGACCCCATCTCTACTATAAATAGAAAGAAAATAATTGGCTAACTAATATATATATAGAAAAATAGCCGGACATGGTGGCGCATGCCTGTAGTCCCAGCTACTCAGAAGGCTACGGCAGTAGGATTGCTTGAGCCCAGGAGTTTGAGGTTGCTGTGAGCTAGGCTGACGCCACGGCACTCACTCTAGCCTAGGCAACAAAGCAAGACTCTGTCTTTAAAAAAAAAAAAAAAGACTTATTACTATAAATCTACAGTAATCAAAACAGTGTGGTGATGGTAAAAGAATAGACAAATAGATCAAATGGAACTAAATTGAGAGCCCAGAAATAGACCAATGCATATACAGTCAACTGATCTTTGACAAAGGAGCAATGGCAACACAATGAAGAAAAGACAGTCTTTTCAACAAATGGTGCTGGAATAATTAGACATCCACTTGTAAAATAAATAAATAAATAAATAAATCTAGACACAGACCCATTGACCCAACACCCTTCAGAAAATTGATTCAAAATGGTTTAGAGATCTAAATATAAAAGGCAAAACTTTAACACTCCTAGAGTGATAATCAGAGATCCAGGGGGAGAGATGAGAGCTGAATAGGTGAAGCACAAGAGGTATTTCAGGTGGTGAAATTACTCTGTTTTATACTGCAATGGTGTACATGTGACATTATGTATTTATCAAAACCCATAGTACTTTACAACACAAAGAGTAAACCTTAATGTAGTTAAATTTTTACAAAAGTATTTAAGAGATCAGGAGATCCCAAGAAAGAATGTA